TGAGGTTTCTCCTATTTTTCCCTTTAAACTGTGGGTTTTCTCCGGAAGTTTTTCCTTGTACGATGTGATGGTCTAAGGCAGGGGTCACCAACCTTTTTTAGGATGAGGGCTACTTTCAAAAAATAAAGCAAGTCGGGGGCTACTTTTACTCCTCTTTTTTTTGTTTTTTGCAGTGTATATATTTTATTTTTATATATTATATGCTTACCTTTAACCTTTGTGTGCTGTTTGGGTTTGTGGGACCCGTTTTCAGTGTTTACTAAAAGAAAATGTATGCAATTTAATAATTTTAACCTGCTTTATTTGGGGGTGGACCTCACATCCTCTGGGGCTCACTCTCCAGGGGGGATCTCACATCTTCTAGGGGGGTCCTCACCTCCTCTAAAAGATTTTTTTTTTAATGTTGAAGTGAAATGCACCAATCTGCTGCACTTTGAGCACAAAATGAATTTATGGATACAGCTCTCAACACTCATACTAAAGGGAGCTGTATACTTTTCAATACTCCAATCATCTTTAGAATATTATCACAACCAATAACAAATCATTTAAACTGGTTTATTCTTATCTTATGTTACCTAATTAGCATTCTTTCTTTTTATTTATGCATATTTTACTAATCACTCCCCTTTTAAACTGTTTTTTGTATTGTCCTATAGTACACACTGGAATGACTTCTTACTTTATCTATATTAAATAGATAAAAGTGTGTTGGCAAGATGGCCGCAATGTGGCAACGTCGGTCTCCATTGGGCAGCAGCGCGGGNTATGATTTAGGTTTCGTTTATGCATAGAGTAGATTATTTTAATTACATTTCCTTTTTTGTTTTGGATTTGCTTGGCGAGCTATTTTTAGAACATACCCGGCGGGCGACTCACGTTGCCCCTGCGGGCGACTGAGTGCCCGCGGGCACCGTGTTGGCTACCCCTGACCTAGACATTAAGTAAAAGCTGGCAGCAGATTATTTGATGCTAACCGTCCATTTGTCCTGTCCGTGTGTCCTGTAGCTGAGCTCATATGTGAGGTTTCTGTTCAGAGAGGANTGAACTGATGGAGACATTTTTATTTTCCTGAACTGGTATTTCCTGTGGCAGGTATATACAAATATAATTTCAGATGTTGTAATTGACTTTTCATGACCTAGACATTAAGTAAAAGCTGGCAGCAGATTATTTGATGCTAACCGTCCATTTGTCCTGTCCGTGTGTCCTGTAGCTGAGCTGATATGTGAGGTTTCTGTTCAGAGAGGAAGACGAGGGGTACGGGCTGGACCAGCTGAGCCGCCGGCCTCCATCACCTCCATCATGGGAGGATAGATTCACAGGTGGGCGGGCTCTCACTGTACAACACAAAAACACATAGCATTGAGACCACGATGGAAATCATTATTCGAGCAAGAATACTTGAAAACAGAGAGGTTGCTGGAAGGTTTATTGAAGGGCATAGGCAAGGAAAACAGAAGATGAGCAATACAAGTGCTTGCCACCATCTCTTTGCTAAACCTGCCTCTGGTCTGCATATTTAACTGATTCTTAGACAAGTCATAAAGCAAATGTTCTCTAGTATAAACATGCCTAAACTCCAAAAAACAAGGCGCCTCGTAAAGATTAAGATGAACGTCAAAGCTGCCTGTTGTGCCCTAAGACTGTCACGATCTGTGTTGTCTTGTCTTTTTCTGTCTTTGGTTTCATGTTTTATTTTGAAAAGTCTTCACCCCCTGTCTTGCCTGTTGCTTTCTGTCTGTTTTCCCTCCTACCTGATTACCCGATTGTGTTCACCTGGTGCCCCTGTGTTTTCTCCTCCCTCCTCACCTGTGTCTTGTTTGTGTGATTAGTCTTGTGTGTATTTAAGTTCTGATTTTTCTGTCTGTCATTGTTGGTTCGTTGTTTGTCGTTGACTGTGTTCACGAGGTAGTGTTCTGTTTTGTTCCTTAAGACCTTGAAATAAAGGTATTTTTTCCTGTTTATTCTGCATTTGGGTCCTGCACCCTAACAAAGACCTGCTTAAATGATTCCTAACATCGAAAAGGCCATTCTAAAACTAAAATATGTATAAAATCAATTGTATTTTGTAATGTACTAATAGATATGAATTAGCTCAAACATTATTAATAAAACATGTTCTTTTGCTCATTAGCACAGTTCGTTATCTAAACGTACAGTGCTGGGAAAGATCCAGAGGCTTGTGTGGGACAGACGAGCAGAGTGTGTTGTTCTCCAGGAAGAAGACGGTGTGTTTGATGCCGATGGCAAATGTCCGGGTTTCATATCGACACTGGACAGTCCTGTGCTCTCTTTCATCTTCAGCACCGCAAGGCAGACACTGCTCCCTGAAAGGACATCAACACAGAGCTGTGGGACAGAGAACATGCCAGAACGACATATTGCCCATTCATGATGTCAATTAGTTCACTTGGGTTTTGAGAGAAGAGCCACACTTCAGATCACCTGCTCACATCCAGCCTTGTTCATCCATCATTCCCCACCCATTCATCCCTTTCCCGAATACCTCATCCTTACCTCGTTCCCTTCGTTTGCTTCCTACATTCACTCGTCCCTTCATCCTTTGCTTCCTACATTCACTCGTCCCTTCATCCTTTGCTTCCTACATTCACTCGTCCCTTCATCCTTCGCTTCCTACATCCCTACGGCACTACATCCATTAATCACTTCTTTCCTTCATCCGTTCATCCCATCTTCCTTTGTTTATCCCTCCCCCTTTCTTCCCACATCCCTTCAAGCGTTCATCGCTCTGACCCTCCAACCCTTGGACTCTCATGCTTCCCTTGCTACATCCCTTATTTGATTTATCCTTTCCTACACCCCTTCGAACCCCATCCTTCCTTACCTATCCATTTATCCCTTCCTTCCTACATCCCTATGACCCTTCATCCCTTCTTTCCCTACATTCCTTCAAACGTTAATCGCTCCCTCCCATATTCCCTTTGACCGACATGCCTCCTTACTTCAATCCTTTTTCAGTCATCCCTTCCTTCCCTTCGACACACAACATCTAGTTGCTAAATGCTAGCTATCCCAATATCATGTCTTCACAACGAGCCGGCCCTCAAGCATCCTCTGTTTTCTCCCCTGATCTTTTGCCCTCACCTGTTGTCTTCTGTCTTGAACCAGAGCGTCAGGGTTGTGTTTCTGTGCTCCCTCCAGCTGCAGAGGACATGGGACTTGTAGTCGTTGTGGCATTGTAAGGATTTCAGCAGCGGAGACACTGGGTGGAGAAAAGGAAGTGTTGTTTGTTGATTACTTTGCTGAATGTATTTTCTTTGCTGTTGTGTTGTGCTGAATGTACTGCAAGCAGTGTTCAGTTTCAAGAATAGGAAGTTGTACAACAAGGCAAAAAAACATGAAATAACCACTAAGCCCTGCATTCAAAAATACTAGAAGTGTAAAGGTACTATAAGTGTGTATATTATAGGACAATTCATTTCTTAATGTGCGTATAGCATTTCTGGTGCAAAACGTCAAACTTATAAAGATGTTTATGTCCTCAAACCATTGAGAAAAAGGGACACATATACCTATTTTTAAATGAAAACAATTTGAGGAAATATGTTTTGGAGAAAAGCAATAACATTTAAGGCGGTCTGCTTTACTTGAATGATGGAGAAGTTGACTTCACAGTGTAACTTTCCATAAAGAAAACATTTAACACTTTGGAGAACCTCAGTATTATCGTTTGTTAGGTGAACAATTAATCACATTTCAAAGGCTTCTAGCATGTAGTGTAGGGGAAATCACTTTTATTATATGCACATTATTTATCAGCTTTCTGTCAGATACATTTAAAAGTACAAAAAGTATGAAATGTGGTGGAGTAGAAATATACAGTACAATATATTCTTACGAAGTACAAACAACCCCAATCTGAACTGAAGTCAATCTGTTACATTTGAGAACATCATTTACGTGATGTATCACAAAAACATAACAAAGGAGCATACCTGAGCAACGATCCAATGAATAAATAAATAAATAAATAACTAACTAAATAAATTAATAAATAAACAAACAAACACACAAATAAATAAATAAATAATGAATAAATAACTAAATAAATAACTAAATAAATAAATAAACAAACAAACAAACAAACACACAAATAACTAAATAATAAATAAATAAGAATCAGAAATATTAAAACTGAGACAGTTTTTAGTATTTCATTCCAAAACAATTGTGAATATGCCATGTGAAGAGACTTACCGTTGCTGCTGCTTTCGTGTACAGAACAGCGGTCTGGAGCACAGCAGAGAACCAGAGGAGGGAGCGTTGACCAAAGCATTACCCAGTAAAGAGGCATCATTCCTGGGCACACACACAGCCAGGAGCCTCTTTTTGTCTGGGGTCTGTTTCTGTAAACTTCACTGTGCGCGTTTACATCGTCCAGAAGTCTGATTGTCCGGACACAGTCAGAGTCAGAGAAAGGGAGAATGAGTTAATTTACTAGAAATAATGAAGAAATGAGTCACGACTCCACCAGCAGCGATCACTTCTGCTTTAAACGTCTGCTTGTTGTGGGAAGTCACCACACATCCGCCTACCTCTTATCTCCCTCTCACATGAGATTAAAACACACACACATGCTGTCACTGGGGACTATCAATAAATAAAATAGCAAACACTGTTGACTCAGATGAGCGGTTTTATCACTCTGCCCTATACCATACTGTGTATGTAAACAAATACGTATTTACAGCTTGCACTACGCTTCAATCTTTAAAACCACACCTCTTAGAAAATAAAAGTTAGTTATACTATTCAGTTTTGCCCAAATATAATTGACTTGTAAGTCATTTATAGATTTGGTTTTGTTTTTAAAGTGTCATTATCTGCAAATGTTATTCCCACTTGTATTTTAGTGACATTAAACATTTCAAATGTATTGCTTTTTTGTTATATCTTTATTTTTTATCCAAAACTAACACAACCATGTCGTTTCTGAATGTCCATCTTGCTGAAGATTTTGTATCGACTTCTGAAAATAGTTATATCAATTCAAAGCATTGTTTGCATGTTTTTAAAATACAATTTTGTATGTCCATTTAATGATAACTGTTACGGCCCCAAAGCCTGTGGCCTGTGAGTGTGCAGGTGTGTTGCAGGTCCTGTGATGGGGGTGGAGCTGAGGAGGCCAATCAGCATGACTGGGGACACCTGGCCGGAGCCGAGGTGCTACTTAAGCCCAGCTGCCCGGATTCACATGGCCCCCGTGACTCTCTCCAAGACCGCTGCACAGGGCCGTCCCTCCCTACAGGCCGATCATGCAGACTGCGTGGGGCCTCACCTTGCGGAGGGTGCCTCATCTTGCGGAGGGGGCCTCATCTGAGCCGAAAATGCGGCGCACCGATGTGCTTATGCGGCGCAATTAGTGTGGCGCGGCACGGTTTTGCCGCTGCGAGGCTCCACTAGCACGCCCCCCCCACTCCCCTCCCCCGTCGACGCTCGCGAAACAGAGGCCCTCATCATATAACTTTGCGTGGCCAGGGACCGACTTGCCGCTGCAGGAAGACTCTCGCCGGGATCCTTTCCCCTCGCCCATCCTCTCATATTCTTGGTGTTGTTTTGGAGCTGCCACAATAAATGTGCCGTGGTTTTTGGAACCGTCGAAAGTCTCTCTCTCTCTTTTCCTGTTGTGGCCTACGAGCCGGTCATAACAACTGGGGGCTTGTCTATCGTGAGTATCAACCGGGAGTTAGTTTTGCTGTTTTGAATTTATACTTTTCATATAATAGAATATGAAAAGTATTTTAAGACATGATGTTGATCTCCTTTATTGACATTTAATTTTTCAATTCTATAGGTTCCTGACTATGATTTTAAGATATATTTGATGGTAGATCCTTGGCAAACAAACACAAGAAGTCATATTTAAACTTAACTTTAACAAAATCTTACATTTAATCCTTTTTTAAAAGTTAGAATATATTTTCAAATGAAGCCATACATATGCAATTAAAGAGGAAACGTGAAAATATAACAATGTTTTTTTTGAAAGTGAGAAAAAAGACGAGGTGTGATATTGCATCAACCAGGGGGAATTTGAAGGGTCACTCAGGCATAACACTGCTGTTGTTTACAGTATCGGGGAGGAAAGCCCCTTCAGGAGAGTGTGGGAAGCAAACAGTCACACTGATGCTGACATTTACCACAAAATCACAAAATCAAAGGCAAACTGAGATTTAATCCAGATATATCCCTGGAAAATGTGATTATGCAAATGACAGAAAGCATGAAGCAAAACTGGAAGAAATGCTGTTGCCGACATTTCTCTTTACCATGATATAATTACTCATTCGCAATATTGCAACATTTCTTCTATTGTCCAACTATTACGGAAGTCTCTTTATTCAGAAAATTCACTGTAAATCCGTCCTGAGTCACAGAGGATGTCATGTCATCCACCTTTTGTTATCAGCTCTAATGAAGACAAGATGCATTTTGACTTCCTTCTTTCAGAAGAATCGCCAAATAAGAGCTATACACACATGAATATTACTGTACTGTTTTTAAGGTGATATATACAGTATTCACACAATTTCAACCCTATGAAAAGAAACCTTATTTAAGTATGAATGTGACGCTACCTACCTTAAGAAAAATACTTGTTTCCAGTAAATCCTCCAGTAGCATGCTGTACTTTGCATGAAGATGTTTTCAGAGTTTCCTTTGTCCGTTTTTTTGCTGCTTCCTTCTTGTTGGCCGTCTCCTCATGACAACGTCAAAAACTCTATGGGAGTTTCCCAGTTCCCCCTTTCTGTGACATGTAAAAATGTCAGGTTCCCAATATCACATTTCTCCATTTTATGCTTTGGTCATTACTTTTCCTATTCTTTACTAGATTTCCTTATTGTATGTTACAATGTTTACTCCAGTACATTTCAGAAATACATTTGTATTTATTATTTTATAGATTTAAGATTTTACAAACAACACATAGTATATGATCAGCTTGTAAAATACGAGGTATTCATGTTATGACTTTTTACTGTGCCCGCTTTCTTATCAGTGAGTCACTCTGGTTGTTCAATTTTAAGTCAGAGCCGCCCCCACCAACCCACATGGGTTTCACTATCACTGAATCAAATTAACCCCAAAAACACAGATATACAGAAACTTCTTAAAGGCGGTGGGATAAATACAATAATTTATATTTTTTCACCTGTTTTGATCGGTTGAGTGCTGATTGAAGTCCTTTGTTCAAAAAAAATAAAGGTCACGACATATATTTATGAATAAAAATATGTTCCCATACACAAAACTTAATATTTAACTATGGAAACTTATTTTCTCCAAGGTTACTATTTTAGATACAAATATGTAATATAAAAAGAGATTTTGTGTAATAAAATGAAAGTTAAAAAAATGCTTTGTTTAGTAGAAGATCATGGTTTGGGTTAAAATATTGTGACATAACTTAATTGACATACTTGAGTTTACTAAGATATGTATTCAACTTAAGTATGATACTTTTTGTAAGTTTAAAGAAGTAATTACAAGTGAACATTGGCTTTTCGTTTAACATGCTACACAACGTGAAAGTCCCGTTTTTGTTTGCTGTAGTGTAAGATACGTGGAAAATGTTGTGGAGTAAGAAACTCTCCAAAGGTAGAAGATCCCTGGTTAGCTCCGTCACATTACGTACAGAGGTTAAAATATGTAAACATTTACTTTTTAGCCTCACATGGGGCACCAACAGAGGCCTCTTGAGTGAAAGTGGTTGGACCCATCCATCCACCCCCCAGAGAAATAATAAGTATTAGCTCAAACTTCGTAGACAAAGCATTTTTGTTGAATGGAAACAACATTGTTAGGAGACCAGGAAAACGTTTAAACAAACAACGATAAATGCTACTTCAAATGCGCTTTTCACCTCGATATGAGGTCCGTAAAGAATAGAATAGATAGAATTCCTTTATTGTCATTGCACCAGGTACAACGACATTTAAAAAAGCAATCCTCGCAGTGCATTTCCACATAAAACGAATAAATATATATCTATATAAACATATACACACATAAACATATGCTCACACATCCATACCAACATGCATACATGCCCGCACATAATTTAAATACAGTTTACAATATAAAAAACACAGGGATGATATTTTGCATCTCTAATGTCGATCAGTTAATAAATGAATAAAACTATTAAAAGCAGTTGTAACTGTTCAGTTCACCGGTTGACGGTGTTCAGTTCTCGTATGGCTCTGGGGTCGAAACTTTTTTCCAGTCTGTTTGTCCTTGATTGAATTGACCTGTAGCGTCTACCGGAGGGCAGAAGAGCAAACAGGAAGTGTCCAGGGTGTGAAGAGTCTGCAACTATTTTGCCTGCTCTGTTGAGGCAACGTTGGCTGAAGAGTTCCTCCAGAGAAGGCAGTGAGCAGCCGATGACCTTCTGGGCTGTGTTGAAGACCCTCTGAAGGGGTTTCCTGTCCTTTTCTGAGCAGCTGGCACACCACGTGGTTAGGCAATATGCCAGCACACTCTCTATGGAGCAGCGGTAGAAAGACACCAGAAGCTTCTCCTCCAGGTTGTTAAGTGGAGTCGCTGCTGGGCCTTTTTTACAGATGTTGACAGACCAGGATAG